GTGCGGCGGCGGCGCAAGGCGACCAAGCTACGCAACGAGGAGGAGCGGCGGAGAAAGGAGGAGAAGGCGACGGCCCGCGAGGCGTGTCTCCCTGCTGCTGTCAACTATCTGGCTTCGTGGCAGCAGAGCAGCGTGGGAGGCGGGCAGGCGTACCTGCCGCAGACTTCGCTGTCGAGGCAGATGCTACCAGCGGACGTCTACCCGCCAACACTAGACGGCTACGCGTATAAGCGGTGCGGGGGTATGAGCGTGGACGAGCTGTGGTCGCAGTCGGCGGGGGTAACCGCGGCACCGCTGTGGACGGGTGGTCACGTATACCAGCAGCAACCCGTGACGTCAGCGTCGGCCGGCTTTCCACCGTACAGCGCCGTGACGCGAGGTCGGTATGATATCGATCGGACGCAGCGGCTCGATGCGTCACGTAACGTCGGGATTCCTGCGGCACATGACGTTGGAATATCTGCGTCACGTAACGTTGGAATATCTGCGTCACGTAACGTTGGTATGGCAGCGTCAGGTAACGTTGGCCAGGTTGCGTCACGTGTCATGGGTATTACTGCGTCACGTAGTATTGGAATGAGCGCTTCTCGTGACGCAGAGTTGACTGCGTCAGATGACGCGACGCTAGGTGCGTCACGCCATCATATGGCCGATATTCGCCGTGGCGAATCGCGGCAGGAGGAATTCGGCTGCAGTCGCACGACGCAGGTGACGCAACAACTACATCGCAGCGTCATGCCGCTTGACGTTAGCTCTTACGTCACGCCCACCGACTGCGTTAAACGACGTCGCCCGCTATCGCCGCTGCACTGTAACTTTGCGTCAAACGAAGGCGTTCAGCCGGCGAAACAGATCTGCGCTAGTCGCAGTGACGCAGAAATGCCGTCGTCGCACATGGCCACCTCTACGGCTCTGACGCAAGCGGTTTCCTGCGTCAAGGAACACTCCATGACGTCACACGCCGCTGCCCCGGCATCCTATCACGGAGAGGAAGCGACAGTAGCTCCTCCTAGTTTCTGTTTGACTCCCTGCGTGCAGCAACAACTCTCCTGCCGTCTCCCGTCGATAGACAATCTCCTTGACCGAGAAGGATTTCTTTATTCGCCGCAGGAGGGCGCGATAAGCGCGGAAGATTTTCTGCCTCAATTATCGCCGGAAGTGGAGAAGGAGATCCTCGGCCGACTTGCCGCTCAGGCGTGGCTTCCGGTCGTCAATTTCTGCTAGTAACACTCTACTGCAGCGACGCGATAGCAAACACAGTAGTTGCTCAATAAATTTAATTTTTGCGCTTACGCTAACAATGAAATGTAAGCACAGCTGCCCAACTTAGCTAGTAATATCGGATACAGAGCCACCGGTAAAGCCGTGAACACGTGTATATAGCCCATACAATTGATTTTAAAGGTTTGTCTTCTAATTGTTTTTTTAATAATAGCTGGTACACATCTCAGTAAATGATGTTGAGCTGCGTCAAGTTTGGGACATTTCGGGATTTGTTAAGACATGGGTGAAAATTCTTATTTTTTCACTAACACTCCCCAGTTTACTGTATGATTTTTGTCTGATGATATATGTATCTGTGATTGTCGTAACATCGTATATGATCTCTAATTATTTTGTTTGTAAGACAATTTTATAACTACGTTTTCATAATACAGTTACTGTGATAGCAGCCATGAACTCAGTGAGGGGTAATTTGAGAATTACGTAAATATACCGGTAAGTTTTATTAAAATTATTTTTCACTATAACTTAGATCTTTTGTTTATGATTTCTATGTGATGAATATATGTGGTATTTCTGTCTGTGCTGAAAATCGTAAATCACAATCGGGGAAACATGAAACAGCATGGTGCCGCCATCTAGTAGCGGACGAGAAACTAAATAGCTTGTTATGGCACGCAATATGCACTTCTTGCTCCGACTATAACATATTTAAAGCACGAATCCAGTATTAAAATCCACGATAGGTGTGTGAGGTGGAGGTGTATATCAAACAATTTATACAAGTAGGAACCCCCGCGCGTGTAGCAGCTAACATCACGATGTACCCATTCCTACGCAGTCTGTACGGGGGCCCTGAAACGTGAACTTCGATCTCTCGATAGCATGCGCATGGGGGCGACACAAATCTCCATAGTGACACAGGTGAAAGCAAACATCGGCCTAGTTAGGCTCAGTGTTATCTGACGCTGAACTAACACAGAGTGCATTCGAACGCGCGGAGATATGGACAAATAAAATAGTATTGACTGCTCGCTTTTTATCTACAATGCGCATAATGTCTGAGCATGTTTTCGCGTCCAGGTATGAGCTGGCACGGCTCGCGGGCGGAATGAATATCGCACCTGTGTGATTGGATTTATGTCTTAAGCACCCTGACGGTATATGCTACTATACCCGCGCTGCGTTCACGGCGGGTGGCCGAACTACTTTGCGTCTCTTATAACGACATTTCGTCGTTTGTTTACGGCTTTCCGCCCATCCCACGAATGTGCTGTGTAGGCTCTCGAACGAGGCAAACAGGGCGTCATCGATGTTTGCGAGGTCAAACACCCCGCGTTACGCGGAAAACCAACACTAGAGGGGGTGGGGGACGTCGCGATGTGGTTCGCTCTCACGTCCATGCGCGTAGGAAGCTCCTAACTACCGATAAAGGCATCGTAACCACTTTCGCAGACAATAAATAGCCGGCCACCCATCCCACACGTATCCGTCTTACATCTATCTATACAAGTCTTAGTTTATATAACAACAAGAGTAAGGTATAAGCAGTACAGCTTTGACTACCACGCCCACTGCCTAGCTGAGCCGTACAAGTCTCTAAATTTATTGGGATATAGTTATGGTTAGAGATACAGAGTCAGGGATAAGGTACGGGTTAGGAATACCGAGAGTGTAAGGATTTTAGTGCGCTTGTTAAAGTCAGGGTTATAGGATAAGTCGCACTTAGGCATGTAAGATTTAAGACATACAGATACAGACATAGCGAGGATAGGATCGCCTACGTTTAAATTGACTACGTCACGAATTTTCTATGGTAAAATTTGTAAAATTTTTGTTGTCATTTTTTTACATTAAAAGTAAGAACTAACGGGACTAAACGTATCGTCAAATTCTTACCTGATAAGATTGTTTCTCAACTAGTTAAAAATCCAAAAAACCTGGACGATTTGATATTGTGTTCCTGACATTAATTGCTTGCTATGGGCTATGTACGTATGAGTCACGAGTCTATGTTCACATCGAACAATATAGTAAAATAGGAAGTATAATGCAGCAATTGAACCATAAAAAGTAAACAGAATTACTTATATTTTGTGAAAAAGTGAAAATATTTTTTTAATTTTTACTATTTACGGAGACGTAATCACTTTAACGTATATTTGATGGCGTGAGCATATATTCGACAACCAACGAAGGTTTATTCGCAACTGCGCTCGAGTGCTGCGTATACAGGTTGAGTTATGCTATGACTAGGGGTCGAAGGTTTATCGGTCAGCCATCACGCGAGGTATATGAAGTCGCTGTGTACTATAACGTGTCAGTCCGCCCACTAACGACGTGCTTGCTCCTCCTTCTCCCTGCTCTCACTATCTCTCCTTCACCTCTCGTGTACGCTCTCTCTCTCTCTCTCTCTGATACAGCCACGATACGCAGGTTGTTACAACATCGTTTCTAACGCCGTAAGTTACGCCCATCGCATTTGTTCTGGAAGTTTACTGAAAACATCTTTTGGGGCAATAAGACAGCATCACTTGTTAAAGCCAAACGGCGTTTATAACAAATCATTGTAATGTTTAATTGCTTATTCATTAATTTAAATATAATAGTAGTATATATATATTATATATATAATATATTATATAGGCCTATATAATTAATTTATTCATTTATATATTTATTAACGCGATTGTGTAGCGGGCGTGTGTGCGTGCGTACGTGCGTGAGGTTACCGTGGCATGTTCGTGGTGTGCGTGTCGGCTAGCAGGCATGGTGCACACCTATTTCATCTATTGACGCCGCGTGAAACATGCTCTGAGCGCGCAAGTCCATGTTTGCTTTGTATTCATGTGTGTTCATTGCAGGGAACTAAAACATCAATATTGGGCTTCGAACAATTTATTCAGTGGTGCGTTATCGACGTGGCAGGGAGTGAGAGAGAGAGAGAGAGAGTGGGTGTCGAGAGAGAGAGGAGAGAGCAGAGAGAGAGAGAGACGAGAGAGAAAGAGAGAAGAGAGAGAGAGAGATGGACAGAGAGGAGGAGAGAGAGAGAGAGAGAGAGAGAGAGAGAGAAGAGAGAAAGAGAAAGAGAGAGAGAGAGAGAGAGAGAGAGAAAGAGAGAGAGAGAGAGAGAGAGAGAGAGAGAGAGAAAGAGAGAGAAGAAGAGTTAGAGAGAGAGAGCAGAAGAGAGAAAGAGAGATGAGAGAGAGAAGAGAGTGAGAGAGAGAAAGAGAGAGAGAGAGAGAGAGGGAGAGAGAGAGAGAGAGAGAGAGAGAGAGAGAGAGAGA